GTTAAAACTTTTGTTGCTTTTAGCACTCCTGAAAAGTATGTAGAAATAGATCTATATAAGAACATTAAATCTGACTGCTGTATTTATTAAATGTGTTTCTGTAGAGCTTTGGGAAATACAGGGGATTCTGGCAGACTATTGTTTTGAATTTGAATCCTATCCCTCTGTGGAATATACAGAGCTTTTGTATCCAGTTTTCTAGACAATCCCTGAAAACATGGGACTATCCCTATTACTCTAGGTCATTGAACTAACAAATTTTAATTTATAGTTGGAAGAATATAGGGATCAAAATTATCACCTGAAGCCCAATGGAAAAAAAAAAGCTGATAAATCGATCGATTGATTGATAATGTAAACTCTTTGATCTGAGACATAACTGTAACAAATTGCAAAATGTCTTTTATTTTTAGACAGCCCTAATTTGAGCATGATCATGATTTTTCTCTCTATGATAATTTAGTTTGAGCATATTATATATTGGAGCCCCCACCTTCTGGGGCTCCACTCATATTTTAATAACTCATGTGAAGATTATGGTCCACAATGTAAGTTTATGGGTCTTTGAAAAAACCTCAGTTCCCTTAGTTTTTGAGAAAATAACAAGTTGCTTGCCTTCATGAATTAATGGTGTTTATTAAACCTTCTCCAACTGTTACAACAGTTGATAACAAGATCAAGCAGATGGTGGAAGAGGTTTATGGCTTCTTGAACAAGAGAATATATCAGTAGAGCACAACTCCTTGGAAGCAGAAAAAAAAGGACATTTTTATAAAATACTTTTTTCATCTTCAACACATTGTCTCTAGAAATACTCACTTTCTCCTTTCACAGCTCTTTCAGTAGTATGCTGAATAGGAATCTAACAAATCTGCCCTGTGGATAAAAATGAGCAGAATTGTCGTAACTGCACACTCAATCAAGTAACATATCCTGCCACTCCCCACACGGGATATTTAAACTGCTCATAAAGCCTCACACATCTTAGCTCTTCATATGAAGAAAAAAGGAACTGCCTTTTTTTTTTTTTTTTTTTTTTTAATATGCTAGCTTGCAAATTGAAGTGATTTTGAAGAAAATTTCCATGGTGGTGTTCTACTGAGATGTGGCTAATGGAGCTGCCTTATGCAAAAGTTTATTTACTTTCTGAAAGGTTTTATAAGCTCTCAGTGGAAGGTCTCTTGGACTGTGCCCCCAGTCTGAGACCCATTTGCTATGACATACAAAATTAGAGTTAGAAAACACAGATTAAACTTAACAGATTCCTTATCATTAAAAAGTAAAAAGTTTTTGTGGGTTTAGGCCAGCTTTAAGACAATGTGACACTTTAAGCAAAAGGATATTTTTCCAAATATTAAAATATACTAGTAACTCCTGCTAGGAAATTTCATTTACAGGAGTTTTGAAACATATGCTCTCACAGAAAACTGTTTGTTCCTCTGCCTTGTCTGTCGTCCCATGTTCCTCAAATGAGAAGGTGATGTCAGATGCAAGAGAGAGTGAGTTGCCATCATAGTATCTTTGCAGCCTGACTGTTAGTAGAGCTCTGATCTTCACAGCCTTTTCAGTTATACTTCACTATTTTCCAGTTTGGATAAGCCTATGGTTAATTGAAAATTCATTTTATTTACCTTAAATTGGGACTGAAATTTTTAAGCAAGAAAATGTGTGAAATTATTAAGAGAGAAGATAACAAACAGACATGAACACATACAGCTGTTGAAATGTTTGGCTTGAAATGATGAGACTAAAATCAGTAACATTTCTTTTGTGAACAGAACCAGACCCAGTGGTTAATGTTACTGCAACATTGATAGCTGATAATGCTGTCCAAATTGACTGCAAACATCAAAAAGTGTATGGACCAAAAACTACATTTGAATTGACTTGGGAAAATGAAAACAATGTCTCCCGTAACGACTGTAAATTTACAAAAGAAAATCTCTCGTACTTGACAAACTATACATTTTCGGTAAGTAGGCTTATTAAATTAAATATATAAATTATTGCTGTATTTTCAGTGTTTAAGCATATTATACTTGGTTTTAGGAAAAAAGGCAAATATGGTGGCAGAGGAGTTAATCTATGGATCGTGTAGGCCACAGGTGTAACAGAACTAAGATCCGCACATGCCTAGCCTATCAATCCTTTGTGTGCTATTCCACATCGGTTCTGACAGCAGGAAAAATACAAGCTGAATAGATTGTTTGTACTTGGGACAGAGAGAAATTTGGGGGTTGCATAAGTTTTAAAATAGTTTAAGTCTACCTGATATTTCAGTGTTTAAAATATATTTCATTTAATAAATGTGTGACATTTCAATCAGAGGATAAATATGGGATTTAAGTCTTGAGATAATTGCTCAGAAATAAATTGTTCAGAATTTTTCGCTGTGAAGATTTTTGTTGCTACAGGGACTAAATGTAAAGCAGTTCAGATCCTTTTACATGTCCTTACATCAGCCTTTTGCAAGCCAGTCCTTGTTTCCAGACAAAATACATCATCCTCTGTTTACAGGCTTTACTTTCCTGAAGGCCTCCTGCTATATTCTCTTCTTTCAGACATTAACCCTTTCGGCATTTGTTGCTTGCAAATCCAGTTGTGTTGTGTGATCCCCTTAATGTGGCCAGTAGGAATATTTTTTTATATCCTGCTAGCTTCTCTCCATAAAGTTTAGGTAAGAAAATAACCAGTAGGAATGACGGAGTTTTATTACTTTTAGGAACCAGTTTCACTCATTTTCTGCAATCTCGTCCTCTTTTCCCTGTGTCTTCCTGAGGAAATGCAGTGTCAGAGAACTTGAGTAGTCTAGGTTTTGTTCCGATGCTTTGTATTTTTCTGACAGATTCTGCTCAGAAAGCTTTATATTCAGAAAATACAGATGAGGTCCTGTAGGAGCAAAAGATGCTCACATTGTTCCCGTAGTAAAAGACCCCTGGGCTCTTGTAAGCTTTTTGTACACCACTTGGCAGTGAACAGTTTGCCTTACAGAAGAAATTGGCTTCTGCTTGGCTCTAAACCCTGGCTTCTGCTTCAAACTTATTTTGTCCAGTTCTTACTAGAAAAACAGAGAAAGCCTCATGGCCTTAACTAGTAATGAAAGGATTCTAGGTCAAGTTTTGGAAGGCTCAAGGAAAAAAAAAGTGATCATCCAGATCACCTGTGAGAGTTGGCAGATGTCATGATTCCCTTCTATCTGCACACTGACTTGTTCGGGGAATAAACAGGAGCCTACCCAGCATACTTTTTTGGTTTAGTGATGTTTTGACTGAACCCGACTGCTGCACTAGGTTTCTGGCTTCCGCTATTTGAGAAGCTTCTTGCTTGTTTTCTCTGCCACCTCTGGATGTTGCCACCTACCATGGCTTTCTTCCCAGCTGCAGAGTTCAGAAACCACCAACCCCCTGCAGACATCGGCCTTTTAGAGGAGAGGGTGGGACCTAGGGCACAGTCCTCTAACTCTCCAGGAGAGGTTTCTCTGAAGACTCAGTAGACTCAGTAAGAACTCGGCCTGCAGTCAGAAATGATGATGAAAGCCCTTCTCCTCCCCCTTTTGGATGATTTGCAGCAGGACAATATTACTATTAAAATCACTGTTATTCAATCCTGTTAGTATGCTCCACTGTTTAGTATTAAATCTTTAACTTTAATTGTAAGATTAGTTTTTCTTCACAAGAAGAGTGTGAAATATTTGACGTACAAACTTCAAGATGCCTATTAGATCTGTTAGGAAGTTCTATTACAGAAATTCAAAAGATTGAATAAATGTAAAATATATTATGACATATAAACACATCTAAACAAAGTTAGTATTTTAACACCAATTAAAGTACCCAAAAGTTAATGTTGCAAGAAAGCAGCTTATTTAAAAGTTTATTTTGGCTTCTATAATTTAACCTTTAATCTATTACTTCCTATACAGGAACTTGTATTAAAAATATCCAATTCAGCTGGCTATTTGTATATTTACTGCTGAAGCAAATAAAGTAATGATGTTTTATTACATATTGCATGGTTATTTTTCAGATTTGAGAGATCTAATTTTGATTTGATAAGAAACAAATTTTATTTTTTCCTTGAGACATCTGATTTTGATTTTGTAAAATGTGTCTCCTATTTCACTAACTGGTTTTGGATCTAGGTCTTGCTGTTACTTAGGTGGAAACCTGAGTTGCACTACAAATGGCTATACAAAAATTGATGGTACATCCTGCTGTCAATGAGATTGACTCACTGAAAATGGATGTATTTCAAATAACCGTTGTGCTTTGTTTTTAAAAAAATGTATGCAGAAATTTTTATTTGTTATTTCTTAACATCTCTATTATTCTCATCCACTGCGTGCAGATTGTAGTGTTTAATGGAGAATATACAGGGCAGCCAGTAATGAAGAGTATAAAAACCAGATGTAAGTAAATATATGTGGCATTTTCAATTTTAGACTTTAGCACAGTATAAAGTAATACTGTAAATTGTGAATTCTGTTACAATTGCTCTTAATTAAAAATCCAAACTGCCTGTTTTTATAGTTAATAATTCATCTGCATTTAATAATATCCTCATTCTGCATTAATGTAACAGGTCATGTTGACAAGTCATTGACCGTAATTCAGAATTATTACACAGCTTTGGTTTCTTCAGGAAACATTCAAATGCAACTAGAAATTAATTTCTCTATCTTATATTATTCACTTTAGGATTATTTTCCTGTGTTCAGATCCTGAACACCTGTGACTTGTCAGGGATTTCCAACTCCCAGATCAGGAGCAGCTGAGAGCTCCACTGCTCAGGTGTACAGGTCACACTGAGCAGGAGACCATGGTAATGCCAAACGAGGGAGTGAGTTGTAGCATTTTGACAGGTGCACATGGAGCATTTAAGCAAAAGTTTTCTTAATGAAGAAATAAAATTCCCTCCTTTTCTGTGATCTTAACTTTTTCTGGCACTTTGGAATAACAAACTTAAACTAGATACTGAAAATAATTGTTTAGTTCTTTTCACAAAAAAATCCCCCCAAAAACCAAAATGACAAACAATGAGCCCTGGTGGTAGGAAGTTTAAAAAAAAATGAAAAAATTTGAAATTTTAAATGCCATTAGTTATGTATTCAAGAAATAATAAATGTATTCTTTTCTGTTGCTAGATAATTCTAAAGCCCTGATTATATTCTTGGTGTTCCTGATTGTTGTGACATCAGTTGCTTTACTACTGGTTCTGTACAAAATCTATGATCTTCACAAGAAAAAGCTGAGGTAAGCTTCATGTTTCTCTCCCTTTCATATAAATGGGGAAGGAGGCTTTCTGTTTTTCTGCAGGATTTCCCAACGGGTAGTGTAAAAATATTACCAGTTTGATATTTCATTAAAAGTGGGAAAAGACATCCTTTTCCCTTTTAATCCTTTCAAAAGAAACTCAATTTTTGGTGGTTTGTCTGACAATGCAAATGCAATGAAATAGATTAAAAATCTCTCAGCTATACCCTTTTTCAAGGCACAGATAAACTGATCTGCTAGAACAAAATGTTTTGTCGCTAGTTTTGTGGAAAAGTATTCACAAATGTCTGGAAAACCTTTCCTTCATGATTTCAGTTCAAAGTAATGAAAATAACACACGCTTTCTTGGAACCCTTTCAAATATTTCACCCAAAACAATATCTCAGGGAGGTTTTCGTCTCTAGGTGACTTGGCAGTTCTGTAGGACAGCGGATGGTGATAGAACAGTCGTTGCCTTCCCTGACGACTGTGCCAGAGCCCTGGAAAGCCAGGCTGGCTGCTGCTACTGCTGTGAAGGGAGATGGTGCAATGTGTGAGGGGACATTCGCTGCTGGTAGAGACAGAGGAGTTAGGGCAATTTCTTCAGAAACGTCTCAGCCCTCTGGCAACAGCAGGACGTGGGGACTCACCCCTTCCAATCCCTTTCCCCCCACCGTTCTTCCCCTTAGGGACAGAGAGCTGCTCTTGCTCAGATGCGAACTTTTATGCTTAGCAATAAGCCTAAAGCAAAAGTAATTTTTGCTTGTACAGCTCCAGAGACTCTGGCTTGTTTTTGGCTGCTTAGTATTTAAACTTAATTTCATTATATTTTATGTACACTGTAGTTTTTTGTCACTTATTTAGCAAGAGAAACAAAGATGGTGTGAGTACTAACTCCAGTGAAGAAATTAAAGACATGTTTGCTGCAGGTGATATGGACAAAATTATGCAAGTGGTAAAGCTGTTTGATGTGGTTCCCTTGTTTCTCCCCCTCAGTAGTGCTCAGAGTAGGAAGACAAGGATCTCAACCAACTCTGTGCAGGGCCTGTAAGTCCCAGTGGCAGCACTCTTGTTTCACAGAGAGCTTGCAGTGCGGTCTGCTGGTTATGAACAGTCTTGGTGTTCACATACAAAACTGCTTTTATTTAACTCATTATCATATGTATGTCTTAATAGTCAAAGCTTTTACAGATGCTTTTGCTTCTTACAGCAATTCTTCTGAAGGAGTGAACCTTGTTGCAGGTGAGTATCTTTATATATTTAGCAAGGGGAAATACAATTAGTCAAATCTTGTCACCACCTTTGGATTGTTTACATTCTAGGTTGTATACGGAGATTATAGATAACAACATGATAACACCTCACTTGGAGAAAAAAACCAAACACTTCCATAAATACATAGCAGAAGTATTTATACTTCAATGAACTGAAAGTTTATCAGTAGTTGAAAAACACTTATTTATTATTTAATTACAAACCCAATTTTGTTATCCCAGACAAAGGATGTGATAAGTTTGACCCCGAGAATAAGTCCAGAATCAAATACATCTTCACCCAGAATTTCCCTTTTCTGTGCACCTTTTTCAAAGCAAGAATTTAAACATAAGCCAGTTGCTTTTACTCCAAAATTTTCAAGGCTTTCAAATTCCAAAGACTGAAATCGAACACTATGTGCAACCTTTGCATAAGATTACAAAGCCTGTGAAGAAAAACAGAATCAGTCAAAACCAGAAAGCTTCAAATAAAAATTAATTGATGACATTCAAGCCCACAGAAATTAACTACATTAAATGAGAAGTAATAGTGTGTTGATATTCAAATCCATTTGCTTAGATACATAGTTGTTAAAAAATCTTTTCAATGTAAATGAAAAATTAATAAATGTCTAGTTAGAGATGTTTAAACTTATTAAATAGTTGCTTTGTAATTAAAATGATGTTACAGATTATTACAACTGAGAGAACAAGTTGGAGAAACCGTGGAAAAGTAGGCCATACATGTTGTTACATGTGTAGGTTGTTCGTGCAGTAATCCATTTTACCACTGATGATAAATGATCAGAACTGAAGTAGAGGGCAAGGCCGTGTAACTGTTGTGGGAGCTGGGGCTGTTGTTGTGACCTGAACGTGACAATCGCCACTTTGTACAAAAGCGCTCTTACTGCAACGTCCCTGCATGTGGCCACCTCCTGAGGTGCCTCCAGTCAGGCGGCAGAGCTGAACAGGTTATTCCCAGGGCCTGTTTGCTCACAGCTGGCTCAGGCAGCACCATTTTTTTGAAAAATAAACATGCTTAGTTAAAATAAAGAGTTTATCCTTTAGTTAATTTATCTGACAATTTGAGAATCACATTTACTGAAATGGAATTTACATTTTCAAAGTCAGTAACAATAGATGTTCGACATATTTACACAGTTAAAGATGATGACAGGCAGCTTCTGAACATAGAGCCAATACCTGCGGAGCAATTGCTGGACACATACAAGAAGAAGATTGCTGATGAAGGAAGACTTTTCTTGGATGAATTTCAGGTTTGTCGTTGACTCAAAATATACCACAGATTTGTAGACAGGTGGTTGGAAGAATTCTGTTCAAGAGCATGTTTGACATATATGCAGTGGTTATAAATAAATAAATTAAAATCTAGAACATTGAGTGAATTCTCATCTAAGGTCAAATAGGCTTCAGTTAATTTTGCTACCGAGCTCTCCTCATTATAAGATGATGATACTTTTTTTTTTTTTTCTGAGTGTTTTTCAGCAGAAGTGTAAAATACACAGTCCAAATACTGCTCATTCTAAAGTACCTTTTAATGAATGTTTTTAATACTCTCTCTTATTGCATAGCCATGAGGATACAAATAATATGTAATTGTGGAGATATATATTATTTATATTAAGGGAAAATAAATTTGTTTATTTTAGATATAAGAAATATATGAAGTAGTATTGTATGAAACAGAATGTTACTTTCCAGACTCAGAAGTACCAAATTTCTTCCATATGCATTTGATTGCAAGTAGAAGCTATTTTAAATATATGTTTACCTAATAAATGAAACATTGTATTTTACAGAGTATTCCTAGAGTTTTCACTAAATTTTCAATAAAGGAGGCCAAAAAAAGCCATAATCAGAACAAAAACCGTTACATTGATATCCTTCCATGTGAGTATTTGTTCAAATTTTTGCATATTTTATAAATAGTTGTTTTCTCAGTGCCTTGAGATAATATAATTATTTTGTTTTAAATGATTTAAACAGATGATCATAACCGTGTTGAGCTATCAGAGATCCCAGGAGACCCAGGATCAGACTATATCAATGCAAGTTATATTGATGTGAGTGACTTCTACTTAGAAAAAGTCTTAGACACTATTGAAGAAATTCTGTAGTCTGTATATTTCATGCATCAAACACCTTTGAGGATTTCCAATTGAGTTCTTTCCATCTTTGTAATGTATTCGGTATTACTGGACTGTGGCATATTGAATTTCTTTTTAAAGTTGCAAATCTTTTGAATTGTTCATGCTTCCTTTCTAAAAGTTGATAACGTTGTACTCTTTATAGGGCTTCAAAGAACCAAGAAAATACATTGCTGCACAAGGTAATCTTTAACCTTAACAGAATATACTTTCTTTTTTCACCCTTTTTTTTTTTGTTAGAGAGTAGTAAAAAAATATTAGTAAATTTAAAGAAAAATTGAAAATCTTGAAAAATTTTGAAATTTAATATGAAAAAGTTGCCAATGAGTTTTTGCTTAGGGGATTTTGTGAAGATGAAAAAATTGCACTTCAAAGGCAGATTTCTCATGATGTAAAATTTTACACCAAATGTTTTCAGATTTCACAGCTACGCACTAAAGATATATATGAGACTTTTGAAGTCAAGTGTGTGGTTGTTAGTTGTGTGATGTCTGATTAGCTTTTTAGACTGCATGGCGAAACGTGTCAAGAAGGCAAGTGGGTTTCTTTATGTAGCTGCACCCTTTGAAAAACTCCCTTAAAATATCTCCTGCTAGGCCCCAAGGATGAAACCACGGATGACTTCTGGAGAATGATCTGGGAACAGAAGGCAACAGTTATTGTCATGGTGACTCGCTGTGAGGAAGGAAAAAGGGTGAGAAATATCCATCCATCCTTCCATCTTCCATCCATCTTTCCATCCAAGTTAAATTCCATGGCCATAAACTTCAGTTCAGAGACCTGAATTGTTGGATATTTGGAATTATTTAGCACTGGCATCCTAAGCAGTGACAGCCTTTTCAGGAGAGGACAAGACCTGTAAGAAGTTGGAAAAACTATACTGAATTGCCATCTGTTTTAAATTAGACTTTCTTCTAGCTTTCAGCTCTCTGCCACTTTTCTGTCATGCTGCTCACCTAACTTCATATCTTCACAGAACAAATGTGCCCAATACTGGCCGTCAATGGAGAATGGCTCTGCAACGTATGGGGACATCATTGTGAAGATCAATGAAAGTAAAACATGTCCAGACTATGTCATTCAGAAACTGCACATCACCAATGTAAGTTGCTTCAAAAGTGTAAGACTGACTGGCATTGGAGTGTCTATTTAGGATCTGTAGATATTGTTGAGAGATCCTTTTAAGAGAAGAGTCAGCTATCAGTTGAAGATGCTCTGTTGTTTTTCACTAAGCAACGTATAGCTTAAGAGAAAACTTCTCAGATGTAGGTGTCATTCCTTACAAGAAATATGAATTAGGCATATATTTCCCAACTTAAAAATGTATTTTCCTTAGTATTCTGGAATCCACATTTTAGAGTAAACTGTTAATGTGCTGTTAAGTATGGAAAGCTTAATACACTGTGGTTTCCTTAGATATTTCGATTGTTCTTTAACACAGAAAATGTACTGGTTTATGTGTATCTCAGCATAACCTTCTGCAAGTAAAATCAATGTGACTCGTAGAGCACCATTATCTTATACCCTTGTGATAATTGTACAGTGGGTCAGTTACAAATTCTGGTAATCTCAAAGGCATTTATAAACAGAAGTGTTTTAAAATTACCATTTGGCTACATGTGGAATCATTGAGGCTGGTTAATTGCTCTCTTTTATACATCTGAAATCACATTAGTTGCTCCGTGCATAATTGAGAACAAAATTTGCCATCTAAGGCTAAATGTTTCTCTCAGGCCCTTTGCAAAAACATTTCAGTGAGGGTAAATGGAGCGTAAGTCATAGCTAAAAGCATTAAGACTCAAAGAGTCAATCTGCTGACAGATCTTCAGCAAAACAGTTGAGCAACAGACTCCACCTATCTTGATCCATGATTACAGCTGGAAATTCCTATTCTGCTGTCTCATGTTGCATTAAAATTCACTGAGGAAGTGGTCTGATTAAAAGAACTTTGTAACTTAGTGTGAAGACAGTGAGAATATCAGGATGTTCAACTATTATCAAAGACATTGCTCTGTGACCAGAACAATCTGATATTAGCAATGAGAGATTGCTGCAGGTTGAGGACTGATAGTTTCAGAGCTGTCTGCTCTCTCGTTCTCTGACATCATACTAATGATGATGTACTGTACATCATACTAATATAGATAAAACTGACATTGGTTGTGGAATTTAAGAGTGATCCCTGGCAATAAAGTGGAGACTTTTGCAGTTCTGGTGGAAAAGTGATGTATAATTACTGAAACAATGGCAAATAACTGTATGAATAACTGTACCACAACTGGATAATTCAACTTTGAGTAAGAATTTGGGAGTTAATTACTGGGGAAATGTCCATATAGCCATTCTAAATCTTGGCCAGTAGAAGAATGCCATTGAGATATCTTTCTCGTTTTGTTTTATAATCATGGTTATCAAAATGTGTCCTCTCTTTTAATCCAGCAGCAGCATATGAAAGTAGGACTCTAAGCTTTAATCAAGTGATTTAAGAGAGCCAGTCTCACTGAAAATCATAGATTTTCTTGTATCTACTTCTAAACAGTAGAAGTCCAAGTTACAGCTTAATAGTCTTTTTTCTTTTCTCCTTTTCTTTTCTCCTTTTCTTTTCTCCTTTTCTCTTTTCTTTTCCTTTTCTTTTCTTTTCTTTTCTTTTCTTCTCTTCTCTTCTGCTCTCTTCTCCTCTCTTCTCCTCTCTTCTCCTCTCTTCTCCTCTCTTCTCCTCTCTTCTCCTCTCTTCTCCTCTCTTCTCCTCTCTTCTCCTCTCTTCTCCTCTCTTCTCCTCTCTTCTCCTCTCTTCTCCTCTCTTCTCCTCTCTTCTCCTCTCTTCTCCTCTCTTCTCCTCTCTTCTCCTCTCTTCTCCTCTCTTCTCCTCTCTTCTCCTCTCTTCTCCTCTCTTCTCCTCTCTTCTCCTCTCTTCTCCTCTCTTCTCCTCTCTTCTCCTCTCTTCTCCTCTCTTCTCCTCTCTTCTCCTCTCTTCTCCTCTCTTCTCCTCTCTTCTCCTCTCTTCTCCTCTCTTCTCCTCTCTTCTCCTCTCTTCTCCTCTCTTCTCCTCTCTTCTCCTCTCTTCTCCTCTCTTCTCCTCTCTTCTCCTCTCTTCTCCTCTCTTCTCCTCTCTTCTCCTCTCTTCTCCTCTCTTTTCCTCTCTTTTCCTCTCTTTTCCTCTCTTTTCCTCTCTTTTCCTCTCTTCTCTTCTCTTCTCTTCTCTTCTTTTCTCTTTTCTCTTTTCTCTTTTCTCTTTTATTTTCTTTTTTTCTCTTTTTTTCTCTTTTCTCTTTTCTTTTCAATCTGTTGTACCCTCAGCAAGCTACTCCTAGGAGGCATAAGAGAGTTACCAATCTGTAGCACTTGAAGTAGTCAGAGCTATACACTGGCCAAGTTGTTTATGAATAGAGTGGGAAACATATTATAATCTGGATCATAGGCTAACCTGATAAAAAAGTATTCTTAGCAACACTTTGAACCTCCTGCTTGTCCTCTATTGGAGTCGTGTATTCCTGATTCGTGGATATTTTTTAATTAAAATTGAATATGAAAAATGTTGTAACCTGAGAGAACATTTGGATTATAACATTCCAGCATGCTGTTTGAAATTTCTGTTTCAGCATTCGATGACCGTTGCCCTTATTTTTCTTCTGCTTTGTACATCTGCATTTCATTTTGGCTTTGTGGGTGTGTGTATATATATATATTAAACTCCCCACACATTTCACTTTGTCTAGGGAAGAGAAAGGACAGCTGGAAGAGATGTCACTCATATTCAGTTCACTAGCTGGCCAGACCATGGAGTTCCTGAGGATCCGCATCTCCTTCTCAAACTCCGACGCAGAGTTAATGCTCTCAGCAACTTTTTTAGTGGTCCAATAGTGGTTCATTGCAGGTAAATATGTATTATTTTTTTAAATTATATTAATGTTAAATTAATATGAAGTGAAGCTATTCAGAAAAGGGAGCTTGCAAAGGTATTTAGCTGATCCCAAATTTTGTGACTTGATTACTTGAGAGTTAGGCACCAAAGGTGCATAAAAGGCCTGTTTTCTGAAGGATATTGAGGTCGATAAAAATCTGAGGATACATAGACTCTTGGACTTTTGGAGAGCAGCCAGATAAATGGTGAGCTACTCTGGCTATAAGAACCATGTTTGGCAATATTGGCGTTACTTTCATTAAAGATAATTAAAATACAAACTCGTCATTGTTTATGTTGCTAATTAATTTACAAGAACTGTTTTCAGTTGCTTCATATCCCACTGTTAGACATTTCCACTTTTGCTCTCTCGCTGATTGCTCCCCTCTCAGAGTGGGACTGAGAGATGCCATTTCCTCTAGATAACCAAATCCCTTTGTACTTTGCAGTGCTGGTGTTGGGCGGACTGGGACATATATAGGAATTGATGCCATGCTGGAGGGGCTGGATGCAGAAGGCAGAGTGGATGTTTATGGCTATGTTGTGAAGCTGCGTCGGCAGCGATGCCTCATGGTTCAAGTAGAGGTATCTCGTTAAATCTCCTGTCACTTAGAACTCTCCTTTGCTAGGGCTTCATCAGTATTTCTCAGAAGTGCCTGCTCAGTTTTGGGTTGTTTGCTACAGTTCAGTTGAAGCTATTGATAGAAAATATAGCTCTGAAAACCATTGAGCTTCAAAAACTTCAAAAACTTCAAACTTCAAATGTTTAAGTTTAGGCTTTAAAAAAGGAAGCCAAGAAGAACATTTTAGATTTGATAATCCAGCTTTTTGCATACAATTCACAAATGCAAAACTGAGCTTGCATAGTCAAACTTAATTTTCAAATTCTAAAAGCTGTCTGTCTAGGTGGGATTTTCAGTTGAGTTGAGAGTATGGCAAAAGTTACAGATTGATGCAATGCATGTTTTTAACACGTTTAAGTGTTTTGCAGATCTTTCAAATCTCAATTGCATATTTCTTGAATGACATTACATTTATTTGCAGAATACTTTTCATCCAACACACTAAATGTGCTCCAAAATGTCTAATTTGGAAGCCACTCTGATTTTTAATACTTGTACTTAATGTCTATATAATGTTCATCCCTAATATTATTAACACTAATAACATCGTGGGAGTAATAGTTTCTTATAACGGTTTTAAAAAGTGATATGATTTTTTTTTCCACTCTTGAATAACTTCATTTTTAAACTCTTCAAATGGGAAACACCAGTCACAGTACATCCTTATCCATCAAGCACTAGTGGAATACAATCAGTATGGAGAAACAGAGGTCAGTCTCTCAGAACTGCACTCCCATCTTAACCATCTGAAAAGAAAAGATTCTCCAAATGAATTTTCTCTGCTGGAGGCAGAGTTTCAGGTAAATAAGCATTGCTTTCTAGTGCCCTTACCTCTCACATTAGGAAGTGCTTTGCACAATAGTTATGAGATAGAGATACCACACAGAATAGATCACTTCTGTGCTATTTTATTTCCCTGGCACAGAAACAGTTTCTTTACCTTCATGAAAAAAGCTGCAAATTAACGAAATTTTATTCCTGCTTTTGATGTTAACATTTTTAACAAAGATGGGGAGCATAGGACAATTACTTGTGTCTCTGTGCATGATTTCCTGTGCTATTGTACATGGTATAGCAGGCATTTTTAAACTATAGTCCAGATATAACCAGAGTTTAAAGAATTAGAGAAGTGAGGCACTGGGAGATGAAGACTGGATGTGGGTGTCCAGAGGGGACAATGATCCCAGGATTTTAATCAGGCATACCAAACATCCTCTTTCTTTAGAGATTACCTTCCTATAAGGGGTGGCGGACACAGAACACTGGGAATCGTGAGGAAAATAAAAGCAAAAATAGGAATGCCAACATAATTCCATGTAAGTATTTTCCACAAACCTCCTCTTATTTTTTTCCATTTTCTTCTGTAAGAAAATCTACTAAATTTTGAAAAAATGAGGACAGTAACTTATCTTACTGAGATATATTTGATTCATTAATTTTATCAACACTGTAAAATTAGAAACTTCTCATAGTGTTTTAAAAAAGAAGAGATGAGTTTTTAAAAACGTGGATTATTGGGAGTGTTTAGGTTTATTAAAATAAAGTGGCCTTTGTTCTGCAGTCTGTTGTGAAAGGAGTGGCTTTCTTCTATCTGTTTTCCCCCCTGCACATGCAGGGGCAGCCCCCCTCTAATGCTGTACCTGAGCAGCAGTGTGGTGGGATGGTGACACTTTGTCTCATGCAGATGACTTTAACCGAGTGCCCATCAGGCACGAAGACGAATGCAGTAAGGAGGGAGAACATGATTCAGATGATTCCTCAGATGAGGACAGCGACTGTGAGGAATCAAGCAAATACATCAATGCTTCCTTCATAACTGTATGTATTTAGAGGATCCACTATAAGTATTTCACAGGCTTTCAGCTAAAACCATATTCTGGCTTGAGCTCTCATTCTCTTACTGGCTTCTATGCTCCTTTTGGCTGGGATAGACATAATTTTTTTCATAGTAGCTAGTATGGGGCTATGGTTTGGATTTGTGCTTAAAACAGCGTTGATAATTCAGAGATGTTTTTGTTATTGTTGTGTAGTGCTTACACAGAGTCAAGGCCAAAACCAGCACAGCTTCACAAATAGAACAGGATTTACCTGAATAAGGGAGAAAGATCTGACAGTTGATTGGCAAATCCATTTATAGTTTTAATCATCAAAATCTTCTACGTTTTGCTGCAGTAATAAGATGAATCTTTTTCCCTTACATGGTCTTAGATTCTGCAATCTCAAATAGTGAGACTAAAGATAGAAACACTTTTTGTGTGTGTGTGTGTGTTATGTTTAAAACCACTAGCTTTCAGCCTGGCCTCATGATAACGTGTATTTCTATTTGTGGGCATCTGCCTATGTACAAGTTGATCCATATTAATATTTTCTCTGTTAGTGAAATGTGAGTACAGTTCTTCACACATATAGAAAACTCTACTAGTGAAAAATGGGGCCATCAGTTTTTTGGTATCGTATCCAATTGGTATCCAAAAGAAGTTTTTTGGTATCGTATCCAATTTTGGTATCCAAAAGAAGGAGAGCCGTAATTGGTCACTAATGAAGTAAGGGATTTTAATGGAATTACTAGCTAAATTCAATTTATCTGAATCCTTTAAAATGCTGCACATTCAGGATATCTATTCAGAGTAAATGTATTTTTACTTTTGGGTAGCTCAGTGTGAACTGACTGGTGCAACAACTTTGTGTGGTATAAATTCAATTTCTTAGTGGTCAAATTAAACA